TGGATGACGTTTAGGACAAGATTTATTGTTCATAATTGTACTCAATTATAACCTCACATCTTCGAAACTTGAGTTGTATAGTTTTCTTTGTTTTCTCCTATTTGTCTTACCGATAGTAGAATTTTCCAGATGGCCGAGTGGACAGGTGTTGAAATTACACATTACACATTACACGTGTTTGTAGTTGACGCGATAAATAAAGCTTCCGTTATCAATCTCTTCCTTCACCCTGTCACATTAGATTGTAAAACTGTCATCCTATCCCATCGATCCTATCGTGTGGTTGTGTGTAATTGCATGTAGTGAGTGGTATAGCTGAACTATTCTCTAGATTTCTTATCTTATTTGGGTCAACCAATCTAGATTTCGCTGCTAGGTTTATATGTTCGGCTAGTCTGACTGACTGGCCCTGTTCTACTGCTTTGACCTATGTATTTGACCTGACAATCATTCAAGCAGGGTATTAGATAAACTAAATTGTTTTGTTTTAAAGGCTCCACAGGATTCATCCTTTAACCGACAAAGCTTGTTTCTAATTGAGTTTGTGGGTTTGAATATAACTTTTATACCTGTCAAATATGTCAAATATGCGCAAGACAAAACCATCAATAAGGAATCTAAATCATCAGTAGTAATTCCATACAAGGAAGGAACCTCGCAAACCCACAAACTCAATTAGAAACAAGCTTTGTCGGTCAAAGGATGAATCCTGTGGAGCCTTTAAAACAAAACAATTTAGTTTATCTAAAACCCTGCAATTCTACTACCCCCTACGATGACAAATAGGAGAGGACAAAGAAAACTATAAAAATCAAGTTTTGAAGCTGTGTGATTATAATTTATGTGATTATGAACAACAAATTTTGTTCGAAACGTCATCCAGTAAATAATACTGTTTCACTGTGTGATACATCTAATAAACGAACCAATATGAAATTACTCTTTGTTCAGTAACCATTTTTTTGAAACAGTTTAATGGGTATTTTTTAATTGGCTAAAATGTAATTGACCAAATTAGCTACCGGTTACTTGCTGAAAAGATCAATTTCGCCACAAACGAGAAGAACTGAATTAAACCAGAGATCAGTGTACCACTTCATACTAGTCTGAAAATCTTAAAGAATGAATACTATCAAGCACTGAGAGAAATCGGTAACAGAAATCTCTAATTAACCAGTGACAACGGTATGGTTCAGGCACTGGGTAAGAATTCATTAGCCCATGATCGATACCTCTTGTCAAATAACACACATTTTGTGTATGTCATCGACGAGTATCTGTTGTCCCTCCATCTTTCCAGAACTTCAATAACGGTTAAGTGCTACTCAAACTATAGTAGTTGCATCTTCATTTTAATTAGCAACGAGTAATGTGAATCGAACATTCGCACAGTCTAAGGGTCACATTAATATAAAGAATCAGTGCACACTGGCTTGCCTTAATCTTTTGAGTAAGCGACTATATACACGAGAAGCTTTGATCGAAGTTATAACCAGAACCATTGGTCATGTCACTTAATTCAGGTTACAACAATATGCTCATTCGAATGAGTAAGTGTTATGTTACTGCTTCCTTTAATTCCGAGTGGAACATAGATCTTCAGTAGCACATCACCATTGCACTGGATTCTCCTTCTTTATTTTCAGCTGGTAATACGATTCCCCACAACCCTTTAATTTCCTATAAATACGATCCCCTTTATGTCAGTAGTCATACTGGAATGCCAAACTCTTTACTTCCCATTCACGTTTCGCTCACCAGCCTGACGTATACCGTCGATGAAAGTGTGCTCAGCGTAAGTCGAATCCATCTCCATTTTCTACTGCATATTTATTGGGTAAAAAGGTTCTAACATGATTTCCTATCTGTCAGATTTCTTTGCGGCTTATTCTTTTAAACCAGCCGCATAACTTTGAATATCACCCGAAGCAGTAGAGTTCTAACCGATAAATTTTTACAGCTTTTGCTAAATGTCAAAAAAGGACATACTGTACATAATTTCTGGTCTATCGACTTCCTTCCATGTAAATTGGCATTGCTCCCATGGTTTGAAGAAGTTTAATTCGTATTTTTAGCAAGATTCCGGATTCGATAAGGTGCTCCAGGATAGAGCTACATGAGGATTTTTCCCTCCTTCATAAAATCATGAAGGTAAGTGTTCCATGATACATTTAGACAGAAAATGCTGGCACAGTTGAAACACTGACACGACTAGGTGAACTGATAGATACACATTGATGAGGCCAGCAGTGGTAGCTTCTCCTTCTCTTTCATAAGAATCATTGGCTTCGTAGAGAAAGTAACTCGGAGTTCAGCCACGAGAAGGTTTTCTTCAGTGAGCAGGACAGACGGTTTCTCAATATTTCTGATGATGAGTCTCCATTGAATTGTAGATTTAAGTAGAGAGATCTTTTGAAGCAGAAATTCTGGGCAGTTTCAGTGGTTAAGGCTTCATGGATTTTGTGATAAGTCACTCTGTGTGACTACTTTCAGGAGAATTTCTTTTTAGGATGATCAGCTCTTCTCCATAGTGTCAGGGCTGCAAATTCTGTGGCTCAGTGAACGGATCAGGTATCGTTTTGCGTAAATAGAGGCATCCAACTATGAAAGTTAATGAGTTTTCTGTACCATGTTGGATTTCTGTGAATAGATATTTCTAGTGTTCTATCTTGTTCATGTCTTGTTAATTGAATGCCAGAAAAGATAATTTTGTGCCAGACTCCTTCTCTCATGTGAACTGAATTGTAGGAAAGCAGCTGCTGAAGAAGTCCAAGATGTTCTCCGAATTTTTTCCACTTTTGGAGATAATAAAAGTATCGTCCAAAACTGTCAATCATTTTCTTTAAGTGTGTTTTCTAGTTTTGACATGAGAAAATTTGGAAGCAACGGCCCAGTGGTAAACCCGTAGCTATACCATCTTTCTGTCGACATGTTTCATTATTGCACAACAATCGTAGATTTAGTGTGCATCTCAATAGGAGTTCCTTCAAGTAGCTGGTGGGCATACCAATGTTTATCCCATTTGAATAAATATTTTCGCATATGTAGCATACTGTTCCAGTTAGTGGGACGTTCGTAAACAGTAATACAACATCTAATGAGAATATGGTTTGATTGGAAACATTGATATTTTCAATGGAGTTAATAAAATTGAAGGAATCTTGGAGTGCGTAGCGGGAAACTTGCCTTCTGACTGGTTCTAGTAGTCTACTAACTATTGGGCAGTACCATGATAAGGTGAAGTCGTCATATCAAGAATAGCTCAAAGCAGTGTGCTTTTCTTGTGTCTCCATGCTTAGTTTCGTTCCTAACAAAACAAGGCGAACGACTCAGCTGCCCTCCTCAAAACGTCCACCAGCCTCCATCACTTCTTTTCTGCTATTTAAACGGAGAAAAAATTCATTTTTTATTCCAGCTGTGCTTTAAAGTTTGCATTGCACTGTGGAGTGACTGTGTGATGAAACACAAAATAAGTGGAAGGTTCACTGCCACTTCCTCTCACCATATAAAAACCGTTCGGAGTGAGCCGCGATGAGAAGCCAATCCTAGCTGGTGATCATACTACAAATTCGACTAATAAGATTCAGTCTGCGCCAACACCACGGACCAAAGGAATGATAGTGGTGATTACCTAGCGACGAATCAGTGTGTCCACCACAGACCTACAGAAGGTAACTCGTGAGCAGAAACGCCTCATTGTTAACGTCTCTAAATACAGAGATGGGTGACGCCGATTGCAGTCAAAGAGGGGACATAAATTGCTTCAAAGATATGGATTCTCTGACGAGTACCAACAGACAGGATACTTAGATCAAGGCCTTTCTGCCGATAGCCTCTAACTCTATAGCACAAAAAGACACTTAAGATTATAAGTTTCCAAAGCGTAGGTGTTACGAACTTCCTGGAATAATTTGAGCGCCGAGTCAGACTGATTCATTATAACGTTAAGAAAAATCTTGTTTTAATTTTCTTAACACTCTTGGATTAATTTAATAATTTATAATAAAAAGACAGTTTGAAAAAAGGCATGCACTTATGGGAATAACACTATTCCTTCATCAGGAAGTACAACTGGTTAACCTTATAAGGAATCATATATACATATATTCCTACCAGTACTTCACTTTTCTTTCTTTTATGTTAAACTTTATACTACTTACTATCAGTAAATAGTATGAGTCATATTTGTTACTTCTTAAGCAAAACTTCCCTATGGAAGTTGAACTTACCTAATGTATTTATGCTCTATTTTGATGTATAGTAATCACTTTCTTATAGTTAAACAATATCTGCTGTATAAACCTTATTTACATACCCTTCATTGTTGACTACTGTTTATTCATATCTCTTCATTCTGTGTCTGGCAATCACGCTCTGTTTAAATCTACACGTGAGTCACCTTTGACACAGCTTTGTTGTTTTTCTTACTGGCGCATATTGACCGTTCTTTCGATGGCATTCAGCCACAGACACCTAAAAATTAGCAGTCTGCGTATTATATTGCATTACTTTACTTTTTATATAGTGCAGAATTCTAGACAAATTCCGTGTTTCTTTGGAGGGGGAAGGGCGGGCCGGTTGAATAAGCGTTCGGGATTTCTTAGAAGAAATTCGCACACTAAACTACATTGTTTCATACAATTCGAGTCTCTCCATTTATTCCGTATTATTATTATTATTCCCAATTTGAATTAAATTTAACCATGATATGATGATGGTTGAATGAGGTGGATATGAATAGAATCCAGGAGGAGAGTTTCTCCCCCCCCCACCCTTCCGGGTTTAATCAGCTGGATGTACTTATATCCCTAGAGAGGTCATATGTATCTCAAGATATTGTCGAAAAATCTATACTAAGGGGTGATATGTAAGCAGAAGTCAAGCATTTCAGTTACACATCAAAAATATCTTTTTAAGAATATGACTGGTAAAAACACTTCGAAGAGAATCTGGAACAAAATAAAACCGAAGGAAAACAGAAAAAATAAACAATCACTTACACATTTGTTGAGTTATTTTCTGATTAGTTTTATGATTTCCACTTGTAGTATACTTATTGTTATTGTTATTATTACTACCAGTATTTTGTTCAAATAAATCTTTGACAGCTCTAAACTCCTACAAAAAAAAACAATAGTACTTTGTTTTACGCGTATCTTAGCCACTTCTAAGGGAAACAGCAGTAACAAGCAAACATACAAGAAATAAATATTTAAAACGAATCTGATTAGATGTATGATAACAAGAGAATACAACTACAAGTTAAGTATAGTGACGTAACCCCACACCAACAACTAATAATCGCTGGATAACTTTATTGAGTCAAGTTAGAACACCACCTTTGAATGATCTCCAGTAGAGACAGAGTACTTTTTCTGGCGCTGTATACTGTGCATAACTTGACGTTTATGCCTTCATAACAATAACTTACTCATTATATTACTTTCCAAATGATTTTGGTCATTGATTATTGTCCTTGAGCCCAGTGGTCGCTGACTATTGACATAAGTAGTATAAATAGAGCGACGAAATTGTATACTTAAGTATTATTACTGACATTTATCTTTCAGATTCATGTTTACTATTAATATGACCATAATATATCACACAACACATATCACCCTCGTTGAATACACAACCTTGTCGAAATACAAGGAAAATTTGCAAACAGTTGCTTTGTGGGATGGTAGACCAAATTTATAGGGGTCTATGTTGTAGGCACAACCATTTACCAACCTTGTGGTGGGGAAGCGACTCGTACAATGAAGTTGAGCTGAGTGCGAGATTGCCAACACCAAATAACCGGTCGAAGACTGATGTTATCAGCCGGCTTTTGGGCTTAGGCTGAATTTTTGGGGCTCTGCAAGGGGCTAATAATTAAATAAAGACATCATCGACTCGGGTGTATTGTATTTTGAATGCACCACCTTAAGACATCTGACACCTCCCTTTCAAAGCGATTGCGCAAGTTAACAGACTAGAGGTTCTCCTTTTGACTGATTGTTGGGTGTCAATATGGAATTTATACAGGAATGCAGCACTTCAAGTTGCCGCACTCCATATAGCAAAATAACCATAATGAGCAGAAATGCACTGGAAGACGGACAATTACGTGGAAAAGCACTAGGACCCAAGGTATCTGTGCCAGTGAGGACGGTTTGCAGCAATCTCACCAACAGTTTCCAGCCAGTGATTCTTAGTGCTTCAAGACTCTAATCAGACTATCTACACCTCGCTGTGTGGCTCAAACCAACAATCAAAGACATCAACGATCGATGCCGGGTTTCGGTATATTGTTATTATTATATCCTTCAATTCCTAGAGGAACATAGGGCTTCAACCGCGCGTCTCCATTGCCTCCGGTTCTCTGCTAGAGTTTTCACCCCGCTCCAAGTCTTCCTACATGCTTTCATCTCCCCTTCACATGACCTCCTCCAAGTCACCCTCACACTGACGACCAACTCGCCGATTCCCTTTCGGGTTCCACTTGAGTATTGGCTTGTCTAGTGATGTCACTTGATGGTTTCCTCAGAGTATGGCCAGCCAATCCATCTCCATTTCTTCCTGCCTATTTGTTTCACAATCGGTTTCCGAGTTGGTTCGCTCATTGCCAGAGATCCCTGTTGCTGATCTTTTCTGGCCGGCCATCTGATCTTGAGTGGTATTGAGCGAAGACAACTGTTAATGAAGGTCTGTAGTTTGTTTGAGATGCGCTTTATGACGCGATGGCCAAGTCTCTGATCCGTATATTGAGTAGCACTGACTTCACATTAGAGTTGAAAATCCGGATTTTATTTTTGATGCTGAGTGCTGTTGACCCCCACACAGATTTCAGAGTAATGAAAGCTTGTCTTGCATTTCCGATTCTGCCTTTGATATCCTCGTCAGTTCCGCTTGTAGTTGAGACGATGCTTCCCAGGTAGGTGAAGGAGGCTGTTTCTTTCAGGTTCCTCCCATTTATGCCGGCTGATTGTTGTTGCTGTTGGTGTTGGCCAGGAACCTTCATCACCTCTGTTTTATCTATGTTCACCTGAAGTCCTATTTTTGATGCTTCTTCTTCTGTGAACTTGTTGCTTTTCACTTGCACATCTTCTAGCTTGTAGGAAATCCGACATATATCATCGGCGAAGTCCAAACCCTCCAAGTTTTTCGTTAAGGTCCATTTTATGCCTGTTTCCACGCTGCTCGCTGTCTGTCAAATTATCCAATCTACAGCAATCAGGAAAATCATTGGTGATAGTAGGCAGTCTTGTCTTACTTCCGTCTTTACTTCGAAGGATTCCGTAAGTTTCTCGTTGTGGATTACTTGGCATGCAGCATTGTCGTACAACTGTTGGATGACAATTCGACTGAGACAACCGGCGTTCAAATATTAGACAGAGGAAACACCAAGAATGTTAGAGAATTTTTAGGAGTCTGGCATTCTAGTGAACCATCAATCAACAGATACATCGACATAGAGAAAATTTACCAATCAATAAGAAAGAAATCTCACACACAAAGGGTCAAACGTCAGGTCTAGGAAACAATCACTACCAATACAAGTAGCCTTGAGGGTGTGAAAACACACGAAAACAAACAATCAAGATCACCCATCACAAGAGATGACTAATAAACCTGTGGAGGAATCGAAAAGCTTACTTCAAATTGAAGTATGCGCTGAAGATGTCACCTAGTAGGGCAATGAAATCTTCGCAAATAAAGCATCCAGCTCAGAGAACACAACTACATCAACATCATCCACCTGAGCGACAAATCTTTTCCATCAGTTTCTAAATATGATATAACGTAGATGTTGAAATGGTCAGAATTCGATCGATCGATTCGACAGTAAACTTTTGGGGAAAATCAATATCACCGAAAAAAACAACACCTATTGTGAGCTAGAATCAAGTTAGAAAATAGTTAATTTTGTTTATAAAAATATCAAGAACAAAAACAAAACAATTTTTTTTTCATTTCATACCTGAAGATCCATTACAGTGAATGAACGTTTCACAGGACATATTTCCCATGTTTCATTTTCTAAAAACATTTTTAATCGTTCCATATGTTTTCTGTGGAATAAAAAAACCAACAGAACAAATAATGTTGTATACCGCAAGGAGATCGACATCTCTTCTTGAAGCAAAATAAGGTGAATACAAAAATACGTGGAAAGACACTATTACCTTTAAAACGTTTGGATGTTGACATTGAATTTCTCTCTAAATTGTGTTTATAATTAAAAACCATATAACATATAACTATATCTTATTACGTAGGATGTTAAAGGTTGTCAGCAGGGTAAGCTACGTGCCACTTAACCAGCTTGGTCGACAGACTTTTGGACTCCTGTGAAAAATGGGCAAAATCCATTTTATCTAACTCACAACACCCTCTTCATTCACAACTCTCCCCTTGTATCTCATCAGGCGAAACCGGAAGCTATATAGAAAACTATACGCTCCCACTAGTAAGTACAAAAACTCGGTTGAGTTTTTGTACTTGCTACCATACCCTACTTAGCTCGTGTTCTGTGCGATAAAGAAAGCATTAGGCGTGATACCTATAACTTATTAAATAGTCAGTAGAACAACTGGATCTCGTCTTTCCAACTCATATCATTTATAGGTACAACATTTTCTTTCTTTCTTTTCCTTCTCTCTCTCTCTTTTTCTCTGTTGTGTGCTGCTTTGTTTATTTCTTCTGCTTACGCCAGTAAATATGCTACCATCTACTTTTCTAACACCTTCAAACAGTCTTCAACTTTTGGCTTTTCTACCGACATGCCGATGTGTTGTTTTCCTAATGAACTGAGATTACCCTTAATCTATGTAGAATTTTATTTTATTGATAATATACTAACTGGATGCAATACTGTAGTAAAATGCTGAGAATTCCATTCTGTATGGCAAGTACTGTTTTGGAATAAAGCAAATTATTATTATTATTATAAAAGGTGCATAATACCACAATAATGAGAACATGTAATTTCGAACGAAGGAAGAAGTGAACTGTGAGTGTAATTAGTGTTAACTAATGGCGAAAGAAATGAAAATCTTATTTTTGGGCTGTTATACAACTAGTGGCCTTCAGATAACCTAGTCCGACAATCTATCTACTAAGATACGAGATCTGGTACTTAAGTAGATCGTATTTTGACTGTAACCCGTACACCAACTATATCAACATCAGTCTACCAATTCGGTTGTACTGTGGCGTGTACTACTGATAAGATTTATAAGTAGTATGTAGATGCAGAAATAAACGTGTATATCAGCAGCAAGAATATAAAATAGCGGAGATTCGGATTTAGTGGCGAAGAGAAGAAATGAACGATGCTTGTAAAAAAACAACATGGGAAACGTGAAAGGAAGACGAAGACAGAACAATGTCTTATTTTATTCTGTCCTTTTTAGCTGGGCCCACGATTGCCCATAGTCTCTCATCTCCTCCTCCCTACACAACCGCCTCCATGTCACCCCGTCGGGCGACCCGAATCTGAGTATCGAATTGCCAATAAATAATTCCGCTACCGAGTTCTCTTGTCTTCTGCTGTTACACTACTACAATTACAATAATAACTTTAAATGCCATTAAAATATAAGTAAGCAAATTTAATTTAATTCATGGATAATCCCCATCCAGGCATTAATGAAAACAGAATACGTAGTCCGGCAAAGAGTCTCTTCTCAGCGATGAATTCATTTTCACAGTGTTACAATCGCAAATATATATGAGTTATTTTGTATGTATGTGTGTGTACATCTTGGTTATCAAGCAAAAATACAATTGGTTATTTGGTTATTTTAACTAAACAGGTGAAGATTAGTAAGTTTTGGGTGGAGTTACGTAATACAAAAACGGTCAAGAAATTGGGTGTCAATGAAACTAGTGTGGTGAGGAAGATGGTGAGTTGTCAGAAATAGTTGTTAAAAAGGAGTTACGTAAAGATCTAATTCGGGACACATGCGTCTCATCTGACGCATCTTTAGGCCCCATTTTCTAGAAATAGAATTAGATCTCTCGAAAGAAATCTTCATTCAAGATGGATACCCATCAAGATTCAGTGATACAAATATCAAACCAAGAATTTGGAGGAATGAAACTTCACTTGCACCGAAAAAGAAACTCTGCATGCACTTGAATTTCAAGGGAGATTTAACAAGCGATATTCTCAAGAGAAGAATCACATCATCTTTTAGAAGAACATTCTTTGTAGCAACGCTAAGAATAGTGTTCTCTAGTCGCCCACTAATCTGCAGAAGCCTCAAGGTGAAGATCCCGCATCTGACCACTTCTAGATGCATATATCAGTTCACCAGAGCCAGGTACATCGGTCGTTCGACGCACACCCTGTCCAAGAGGATTCAAGAAAAGGCAATAGTGGTGCTATAAGGTGTGCGATAATTGAACACCTGGCTTACACTAATCATTCCATCTCAACAAACGCGTCCTCCTTCAAAGTAATCTACAGAGTCAGGAATAACCTACCTAAGGCAATATAGTTTCATCTTCTTTGTATCGCTGAAGCTCTGGCCATTCACATGGAAAGACTGGAGCTGTGCATACAAAAGAGAATTACTCAACCACTACTACTATCATGGTAACCACTTTGTTGATTTTGATGACTTAATTTTGATTGTTTGCTTGTTTTTTTTAATTGCTTATAATTCTTGTATTCATTTAGAACTCTTAACTAATTTCATATTCTCTAATTTGTTTCTCAGTGCATCCTGAGTACAACTAAGTCGTCAAGCTATTCATATTATTACGTGACTTCTTTTTAACAAGTGTTTGTGACAACTCATCACCTTTGTTACCACACTAGTTTCACTAACACCCAACTTACCTGACCGTTTTTGTATTGCGTAACTTATTAACTTTCACCTGCTTAGTTAAAATAACCAAATAACCAATTGCATTTTTTTTTTGACAACCTTGATGTACGCACATATACATACAAAATAACTCATATATATTTGCGATTGTACAGCTAAGAAAATGAATTCATCCCTGAGAAGAGACTCTTCACAGAACTACGTGTTCTGTTTTCATTTAATTGTTTATTTTACATATAAATAAAGTACACGACAAGCATGCCAAGGATGCATGAAATATTATACATGCTATAGGAAAAGGGTACAGTTCAGCACAGAGATAATTAAGTCACTTCTGTACTGCGTATAGAAGATTCACCGCTAAAACATTAGTGAATTGAGTTAGCAGAGGGTGAGGATTTAAAGTTACTGCAAATCAAACTATCGACGCTTTCATCTCAGAATGTTTGACGACTGGGTAGAATCGAGGCCGGTCAATTACAATTTGAATTCTCTTAAGTAGTAGTAATTGGAATCACCAGGTGAATTAATATTTTAACTGATTAAAAATGCCCATTAAAATTTTCAATAGAATGGATACTGAACAGAGAGTACTCTTTTCGATAACTTCATCATCACTCTACAGTCATGTGTACATTATAGTGAATGAATGAATGAATTAGTGTTATGAACAACAATAATGTTGCTGTTTAAATAACATCGAATCAATAATATTGATAGATTACAGTTCAGTAGCTTCAACATAAAAAAGCTGAATGTCAGAAAAATTAGGAAAGATAATATTACAAATTCATGAATTTGTAGTCTCTATTGAAGGCCAGGGCAGTAGTAGGGGCTGGACTTGCTTCTTTTGATTACACAGCACTGGTTGTTTGAGGCGAAGTGCTTTACAGGCAAGTGGACGGGGTGGCGATGGGCTCCCCATTGGGTCCCATTCTGGCTGATTTCTTTCTAAGTAAGCTAGAAAATGGACCTCTGAACAACCTTAACAGTAAGCTCTCATTTTATTGCAGATATTTGGATGATACCTTCATTCTTTGTGATAATGGTTCTAATAGGAGTACAATAATTACTGAATTCAATGAAGTACACTCGGCTATGAAATTCACATGCGAAGAGGAATCCCAAGACAGAATTGCCTTCCTGGATGTCCCTACTTAAAAGGAAACCAGATGGTAGCATAAAAAGAAATTTGCATGAAAAAAGCATTTGGACAGAATAACATACACATTTTCACAGCTTCGTTCCTATCAAATACAAAAGAAATTTAGTGAAGAACTTCAGCCACAGAGTTAGAGCTATTTGCTCAGGAGAAGTAATTGAAGATGAATTAAGCCTTGTATATGATACTTTGATCGAAAACGGCTACTCCGACAAATTTATCAAGAAACGCATGACAAAGATATCTGAAAAGGACTACTCACTATCTGTAAACAAGAAGCCTCTTTATATACGACTATAACTCATAGGCGATATACCAAGTGAGATAATTACGAGAAAATTAAAAAAATCAGTTCAAAGAACTTTTAATGCTGGCGAACTATACGCATTATTCTCTACACAATCGATGGTGATTCCTCGACTGAAAGATGAAGTACCTACACTAGCCACTTCAAATTATATCCACCAATTCAACTGCGCTTGTAGTCAAGCGAGTTATAGTGGCCGTTGCTCTAGGAACTTGATTTTTCATGCTCGAGAACATCTCCCACTATGGCTAAGTAAAGGTGTAGTTAAAACCATTAACAGTTCGATACTGGACCATCTGGTGCAAACCGGCCACAAAGCCAGCGTGGAAGAATCCTTCTCTATAATCTACCGGGTGCCTAACAAATTGCCAAAATCAATGAAACACCGCATACTTCAAACAGCAGAGGTTACTGCAATTCGCCTCAAACAACCAGTGCTGTGTAATCAAAAGAAGCAAGTCCAGCCCCTACTACTGCCCCGGCCTTCAATAGAGACTACAAATTCATGAATTTGTAATATTATCTTTCCTAATTTTTCTGACATTCACCTTTTTTATGTTGAAGCTATTGAACTGTAATCTATCAATATTATTGATTCGATGTTATTTAAACAGCAACATTAATGTTGTTCATAACACTAATTCATTCATTCATTCATTCACTATAATGTACACATGACTGTAGAGCCTGATGATGAAGTTATCGAAAAGAGTACTCTCTGTTCAGTATCCATTTTTTGAAAATTAATATTTCGGTTTTACAAGT